AAAAAGAAATGATGAAAAAAAAAGTTTTCCTCTGTAGACGCGAACGCGGTACCTTATGATTACGAAGCTGAATCGTTGTCAACGCGCCCAATGAATATTCTTCGTACATGATGATCCATAGCTGGTGGAAATGCGCAACCTCATATGCCAATACATTATGTAAGAGAAAAATTGACAGTAATGGAAAAAAATCTCGTTTCCGCTTAACGCTTTTGCATTTCTAACATAGATACATTTCTCCATTTCATTTTTTGTTTTAGCGTGCCGTGGTCTGATTAAAAAAAAATTTGATAACGCTCGCACGTATGGCAGGCTGTTTCACTTTTCGATAGTTTAAATATTATTCAGCCGAATAGAAAAGTAGTAAAAAATGTCCCAAAAAATGGCACTTTTTAATATCGGGTAAAAAAAATGAAAAGCGTAAAAAACCCACACAATTATTTTATACATATGTATGATGAGATGAAACAAATAGTATATCTGCTTAGAAATTTTTTGTTTTATACATTTTTGAGTAGCCTGATTCAATTTAGTCAATTTTTTTATTCATGCCTACGGAAAGATAATTTTATTTTTAATATTTCGAACTATCAGTATGTTCTACCTCGACATAATTGTCTGATAATTCGATGTATTAAAAATATTGTCTTTCCGTAGCCATGAATGATAAAAATTAAATGACAAAAAATCCCTAACCAGATACATTATTCGTTTCATCTCACTATAGAAAATAATTGCTTCATTTTTATATGCTCATTATTATTTTTATGCCCGAGATTTGTAAGTGCATTTTTGTTTTTGGTAATTTTCCATAATGTCTTCTTTATCTGTCTAAATCTTATTTATGCTATTAAAACATGAAACAGCGTAACATAGGTGTTTGTCACAGGTAGGCTCTCGGGAAGAAGAAACGTTCGCTGATTCATGTACCAATTTATTGGATGTATACGATGTAATATAATACAATATTTGTAGATTAATATAATCATATATTTAATGAATCTTAAGTTAACTAGGTGAACTAATAAGCATAGTTGATAATTAGGAAAAAAATAAAAGGGTTGAGACGTGAGTTTCGAACTCGAGACTCTCGGACGTTAATCCAGCGCCAAGCACGTGTGCTATCGAGTCATTGTGGTATATTATTAAGCAAACTTATATTTGTGTAGTTACCCACGTTCGAGAGTTTTTTTAAAGTTTTATTTGCTTACTCTATTATTTCCAGAGCTTCATATGATTATTAAGAGTATTGACTACCTTATTACTACGGTTTATGTAATATCCTGTAAAAAAAAAGGTGGATACAAATGTCCCTATTTGAGTGTTCACCCGGTTTAAAATCGTGGATCTCGAGGAACATACGAATTCATTCGACCAATCAAAAACGTGGAACTAGTTCGAGAGTCTCGTTCAGGTGGCGCGTCGCGCGCCAAAACACAGCTTCAGATTATCACGCGTAGTATTACTATATATACACGACCAATCAAAAACGTGGAACTGCTTCGAAGGCCCTCCGCTAAGGTGGCGCGCCGAAACCAGAGAAAAATTGAGTTCACCAAAAACAGGCTCATTGGCAATCTCCCTACTCATCTCTGGTAGCAATGAGTGGAAAGTGGCCCCAACATGTTGAGAGAGATATATATCTCTCTCTTCGTTCCTAACGTTCAGTTTTCCTCTCACTGTGCACGGGCGCACTACACTACATCATAACAGCTGCTTCCAATCAAATTCCTCCAGTCTTCATGTGTAACTCGTGTTTTGCGTTAGATTGGTTAGATTTTGTTAGGTCAGTAAAATTACGCACTTGCGCAGTGAGGGGAACTGGACGTTACGAAGTGAGAAAGAGGGAACACGCCGTTAGAATCTCCTTGCTCATCTCTATACGCAGTAAGAAATCAAATATCATTACTGGGCTTTCGTATCTTTAAGCTTTAGTTTTGGAACTGCTGGAACATCATTAGTGTAAAAAATTGTAAGTAGATGAAATAAAAGTTAAAAATGTAAAATAACGAAACATTTATTGTATCAACAGTTAATTTTACTTTATAAATCACGCTTAATAAAATATTTCGTTGTCAATTTTAAGTTCAGTCATATGCTAGAATTGATTTTGTCGTATGTGGTGCTAATTCAAGTATAGACAAAAATATTTGTTACGTGGATCTATTTATATTGTAAACTCGTTAAACGAATATTAACTCAGATCTAATCACAGATAACCCTTTGTTGTCATACTAATTTTTTTTACCTGGAACATAAAAAAGGAAATTGAATTCACAGCAGTATAACAATGAAGGGATAAAAATGTTAGTATGCAATAAATATAAATCAGTAATATAAATATATTAAATAATTTTTTCTAAGGCAGACTATTTACAATTGATGTGGAAAAACTCCGACTTATATAGGTTACAGATATATCAATGTCAAGTCTGATGGCAGATTGTAACACTAGTGTATACATAGAAAATACATTGAAGTAGTAATGAAAACTGATCTTTGGAAGAGTTCTTTTCTATTAAACTCTTCACAATAAATTTTTGAATATGTTCAATTAGCATTATCCACTTTTTATCATAATATTTTTCTTTTAAATACATATGATCATAGTTGTATTTCAAGATTTATATTTAGTTAAAGACTTAAATTCCATTAAATTAATCTATTTAAAATTCTGCTTAGGACTTTTATAATTAATGACTTAGTTTCCACAATACAGAATTTAAACAGAGTTAAGCAGCCTTATTGGTCAATTCCATTCAACTCCTATACATGATTGTTTAACTCTGTTAAATTAATTTTTTTTTGTCTTTGAGATCAATTATTATTTTAAATAATATTTTATATATGTAATACTAATAGGGTACTAATGAAACAAAACATCAACTTGTATATTTTAAGGGGGAATGCTATTGTGACGGGTCAAAACATGGTCAATTTTAAAGAATTATTTTTTACAAGTATAATTAATTATTTAAGCATCAGGTAAAAGATACTTCATTGAGTATATATTCAATTACTGAAATACCAATTTTTATTGAAGAATATTAAAAATTTACAATTTTATTAGCTTCTATTTGACAATAAAAAAAATGCCTCACTATTGTCCCATTGAAATTTTCAATATTTATATGAATGTAGCTATTGTTATGCGTGGTTTTTTTTTCCAAAATGGCGGTGGTTTTTCAAAATTTTTCATTTTTAATTTTCTTATTTAAGCGGCATTAAAAAATAGTAATTATCGAAATTTTAAAATTGGCCATGCATAACCTTAGTCACTGCGAATACGAAAATTTTCAAAAAAAATTTTAATTGTTTCATTAGTCTTGAATTATTCGCTAAGACATGGTCGAAAAAAGTCATGAGAAAAACGCGTTTAAAGTTTTTGTAGCGTTTTTCTTGATATAAAATAAAGTTTTAACTCAAATATTGATACTTACATTAAACTATCTATTCCTGGGCCATATCATAGTTCTTCATTGGCATCTCGAGTGTCGTCGTTAGCTGTTTTCAATTTTTTATGGGCCATATTCATGCGATTATCAGTGGTTTCCACCCAATTATTATCCAACTTTAGTTCCTAATAACTCCATCATTTTGAGTGTGGCCTGTGCACCTTGGTTGAATGCTGTTGTTGAAATATACAAGGCAATTTCAACAATAACAGAGTAACTGGAGTTTGACTTTGTTGGTATTTGTCACACTAATGAATTAAAGCATTAGTTATTATTTTGAAATATTACTTCAGTAACATCTTCCAGAAGTGGTGGTTTATTAACAAACGACTCCAAATTATTAGTTGATGCAGCTTGTTGAAACTTGCATCAGGAGTCAGTGCCTTTAGGGCAGAGAAAATGTCATGGATGTTCTTCTGATGACATTTTAGTTTACCAAATCCCACTTTATATATGTCATCAATATTATATATGTCAGCAGTATGTGCACAGCAAGCAATTTGAAGAACAACTGAATAACGACTAATTTTTCAAACTAGAACTGAACGCATAGAATTCTATACATTAAATATACATTAAAGAGAATCCCTTAAATACTGGGGGAGGATGGGATCTTAACACAAAAGTTATACCAAAGAAATATCTCTATCTTGTTCACTATGGAAAAAGACCTGATATTTCATATATTGTGAAAAATGCAGGCACCTTTCTAGCATGGAACTGTGAGTCATAACTGGCCGCGCAACCTGTTCTCACTAAATTGACTGTAACTTAGTCAGTTTTCGACGTTTTGACTTGAAATTTTTTTCACATCTTTTTAATTATGTATACTATAAGAAAATGGAAAAAAAAATCTAATTTTATGACCTGTGACAGTGGTGCGTTCCCCCTTAATGTCTTTTTAAAATATTGCTTTTGATTTATAATATTAATATAGGTTAATATACATTTTTTTTTCCAGGAAAACTACCATTCTCAAAGATAGAAAGGATTGTATTTCCCAAAAATTTAAACAATACTATTGTGATGCCACGAACAAAGTATCAAAAGAAGTTAAAGAACTTGCCGGTTGAAATAGATGAATGTCAATCTTTGATTCGAGATTTTCAGAAACAGGGCAAAGCTCGTATTCAAAAATTTGAAGATGACAGTAAAATGGAAATTAAGGCTCTGGATAGCTACATAAAAATGATAATATCTAGTATGCCTGTTGAATTTCTCGAGCTTACTTTAAATGACATACTAAACATGGAAACATGTGATAAAGAAAACAGTGATTCTACAAATATGAACAATGAAGTACTTCCAGCAGCTACAGTATCCATCACTACACACAAATTGAGAAAAACTGGTTCTGATGATGGTTATGATACAGAGCCTGGTACATCAAAGACTAGGATTATCAGGTTTGTTGCAAGAAACTCAAGTTCTTTAATGAAATATATTTTCAGTTCATTTACTATACTTAATACTGTTAATTGAATCAAATATCAGATTAAATGGTACAACCTGTCACATGATTGTGAGGTAGTTGTTATAATAGATATTTAATAAGGTAGAATTGTTGGCTGGACATGTATAATTAATTGTTCCAGTTGTTGATCATTTGCAGACACGGCAAAGAAAAAAGATTAATTGTTTTATAACGTTAACCCGTGATTTAGGTCCTCTTCACATATGTTATATTTAAATTTAGATATTTGGTATTATGTCAACATCTTGATGAACATTAGTTGCCAGCACATATTAACAAAAAAAGAATAGTCAAATGTATAACAAGGAGTTGAAATCAAACTGCTTTGAAAGATGTATTAAGTCAAGGCATGATTCTTTCTCTTTTTAGAAACAAAATTGAAATTTAAAGACAACACGAACGTTAAATGACAAGACATGTGTTCTAAAGATGGGATTATGTCCTGATTTGATGCATCTTCCTGCGCAGTTTGATTTCTTTTTTTTATAAGTTTGACTACTCTTGTTTTTAATATTCCCTAGTAGCTGTTCCTCAAAATGTTTCCATAATATCAAATATCTAAATTTAAATATAATATATCTGAATAGGACCCAAATCACTTGTTAACTTGTTTCTTGTTAACTTGACTGCAAACTGTCAACAACTGGAACAACAATTAATGACATATCGTGGAGGATTGCTTGGTAGTAAGGATTTATAAATATAATTCGTTATTTCGACCTTTCGGTCTTGAAATAGGACTTGGGTACGTATTATGTAGTTAATAAAATTTATGATTTCCAGTTGTATATCGTGTCTAGTTTAAACGTATTGCTGACATTTCGCAAACGTTTCAGTCTACATCATCAGGACTAGAGACTTTCGATATTGAAATTCCCGTGTTTCAGGGAGCCCTTAAGGAGTTTGCAGCGCTTCACGCTAGTCAAATCAGTGCTAAATTTTAGTCATAGTTTTTGTAAAATTGTATGCATTATGTAATATTGGTGAAGTGTCGTTTGTGTTACTGCATGTTTCTTTTATCTATAGGAAAATTAATACTGATTGATTTGTAAAGACATTAACTAATTAATGTTAATTTCAGAGAAAGTATGTTTTCGTTAAGTTTTTTCCAAGAATAATCCGTAATTCTGCAATGTTTTAAATTTGGGACCGATTATTCTGTTTATCAAAAGATGCTTTACAAATTGACCTTTTAAATATTGGATAGTTCTAACCGTTTAAAAATAACAGCCTGTTGTTTAGCCAGTGAAATAATTTCTTCATGACCAAATGGCTATAATTCTTAAATTGTTAATATTATCAAATATCTTAGACCGTGAATTCGTAAAGGATTATTTAAGAAACAGAATGAGCCATGTCTCATTCAAATCGGTAAACAATTACGGATTAATCTCAGAAAAAATTGAAAAAAATGTACCTGTTCGGAAATCGGCATTAATTAGGTAATATTATTGTAAATTCATCGCTATGGATATTTGTATGAGTTATGGGCACATCTTATAATAAACTCACCCTTCACTGTAATCAATTAATTCATAAAACTTTGTAAAAACGATACAAAAATTTAGCACTAATTTGACTCGTGTCAGTCAAATTCTCCTCAACCTCCTTAAATACATGTATTTACTGTTCTGGAACATATGAATCACCCAATTTAAGATTTTTAATTGATCAACTGGTTAGTTAAAAAACTGGGAGGATGGTATGCCAAATCGAAGTGAGCTGATAACCTCAGTCTCAGTTAAATTTATTCTAATGTTTTAGGATTTCTAGTTTTTTATAATGTTTCTTTCGAAAAGTAACCTAATGAGGTAGTCAATATTTCAGCTTTGTCATATTGGATAGATCTCCTGTATCCGTACAATATTTTGCCTAGGTTGACTGGCAAAAGTGACTGAGTTTGGTATACCGTTGCTGTTCGTTTATGCGTGTACTGATTTTACTCTTGGTCTGTCACGTTTACATTTTGCCTCACAAGCAGGAGATTTTATATAATCTTTGTGAATTCAGGGGTGTTGAGGGGAGGCATATTTTATCCTTAGGACTAGGATGTAATTTTGAGATCTGTGGTTTGAAGATCACTTTGGATGTTATGTTTCTTAAGGACTCAGCTGATGTGGTCGGTGATACCCTAAAGATACGGTAGGACGGCCATCGTTGTTTTTGCTCTATCTTGTTCTGGGGTATACATGCTTTTGGTGCCAGATTCTACTTTAGTTTTCAACCGTTGGATAGTATGGTTGATTTTCTTATTATTGTAACTGTGCTTGGACAAAACCTGAGTGACATGTTCCAATTCTGTATCTAGGGTCCTAGGTTGGGAAATGGTCAGTGCTCTGTAGAACAGAGAGCTGACCCCCAAAAAACACTTACGTGTAAAAAAACTCGCCACGTACAGGATTATTGTGAACTCCCCTAATAGAAAATATTTAAATGATATTGTAATGCCAAGTACATAAGTCACTACAAATCTGTTTATTATATGATCTAGCATAGCTTATCATATTAATTGTAATTTCAAAATTTTCCATAACGTCTTCATTACTCTTTTGCGTTATAGCTGCTGCTTATATCTAATTATGATTTAACCCTTTGCGGATGGGACACTCTTACACGCGTGTGTAAGCCTGGACGGGGAATCTTGGGAGTATTTCGTTGGAAAGTAGTATACGCATGAAGATTCGTTTGTAACACTTATAAATTTCTTCAAAATATGGTATTTTCGTGTTACGCTGAAGGTACTGAAAATGCCGGTCCTCGTGGGACGGCTCGTTAATATCCAATAGGGAGCTGTAAAATATAATGGGCGTAAAAAATGGGTATGGCGAAAAAGGGCAAAGCGAACTCAATCAATCTATAAAATTACGCATTCAAAAATATCTCATCACAATATTCAAAAACACACTCACCAAACACTCACTCAAAATTTGCTCACAAATTTGCAACTTTATCACTCGAAACCCTGGCTCGAAGTAGTGTCTTCATGGTTGCCGGTCCTCGGCGTTTTCCTTGGCGGGCCTTTAGGGCCTCAAGGATTAGCTGGACCGCTGGATTGAGAGGGCTACGCGGTTCGGCATTGGTTCGCAGTTTGTGCATGGCACGGTTCTGGTGCTTCTGTTAGGCATGGTCTTGGCAGGCCTCTCAGGATCTCACTACTTGGGGTATGGTGCTGGACGAGCGCTGGCGCGCTGGTATATGTTCTATGCGCCGGGCAATATGGCGGCCTACATGACCTGTCAAATTCTTCACCCGCGTGCGTTCGCGAAGTTAGAGGGAGGGGACTCCACCATTGTCACACGGGCTTCGTGACTACCCGTGTGACGGGCCTGCACTGGGGGCTGCATCCACACGGGGTGATTGATGGGTCTCACACTCCACGTCGTGGTCGCAATCTGCTGGTCCTCCTGCTCATGCCTTCCCCGCATTCCGCTGCCTCGGCAACGTAGCCAGTCTCTCTTGATCCTTTCCTTTGGTGGCTGGTCCTCGATGGCTCTCAGCCAGTGCCCTAGGGAATAGGTAATGGGGAGGGAATGATGGAGGGAAGGGGCCTAGGTCCTAAAACAATAAAATACGCAATAAAAACCAATAGATGTAATAGATGACACTCGAGGTGAGTGGTGCCTTCGAGCCAGGTCGCGGGGAGGAGTACGCAGTAACGTTACGATACATACAGTGAATAACTTTAATATTCGGACACTATGAGATTTTTACTATATTACGTTATAACTTAATTTCTAACCAAAAAAAAAATGATTAAGGATTATGATGACGTATACGCTTAATAAACAATAGCGTAAATTTTGTTTACATAACTTACAATAGTTGTTCAATAATACGGTTTAAATAAAACATTGTCCGATTTTCACGTTACTTTAATATTATGACACTTTACAATGTAGCGCTTTTTCCAATGTTCAAGTTGAGTTACGCCAAATTAGAGGACAATGTTTATTTACAAATCTAGTCAAGCGTTCTAGTTGAAGCTTTATTTTATTAGTTATTTGTCGATCATCGTGCAACACACTCGTACAATGCCTCGCAAAGTGAACACGAGTTTTGATATACGGCAATTTGTAATATATCATAATGCCAAAGGAAAATCGTACAGAGAAATTGCTGCTCTGCTAAACATAAGCAAGAGTACAGTGGGAGATATAATCAAGCGGTTCAAATGCGAGGATCGTATAGATTTTATAACCCAAAAAGGCCAATTGAAGAAACTAGACGTTCGCGATGAGAGAAAATTGCTAAGAAAAATAAAGAAGGACCCTACGGTCAGTGCCCCAAAATTAGCATCAGAGCTGTTAAACGAGACTGGAAAAAACGTGCATCCTCAAACGATCCGCAGAGCCTTAAAAAATAGCGGCTACAATGGAAGAGTGGCTAGAAAGAAACCGTACGTGAGTGAAAAGAATCGAAA